TTCACGCTGTGATCTAAGGAACGACGTTTTGGCAGGCACGCAGGCGTACCTTTCAAAGTGTTAACAGAAATTATGAACTGAAGTATAGATGGCATTATTTTTCATCATGATTTTTCACATATGTGTAACCGAGTTCTTTGACCAAAAAACATTTTATATTGTAATTGTTTAATTTGAAGATGTATGTTAGGATATTTCATGTTTTCCATCGGGTTCCATGACATAAAAACTGGTATAGATACCTAGATCCTGGTAATCGTGGCACGTATGGCCATTTTATGGCAAAGAAATGCGTTTGTGGCAGCCATTTTGGATTAAATTTTTTTGGCGGGAAGATATATCTTATGATATTTGACAAGAGTTTTATTGCATTCTTTGACTCCAAAAACATAGGTATAGACGCCAAGATCATGATAATCGGGGCACTTACAGCTGATTTATGGGCAAAAACATGTTTTCTGGTGGCCATTTTTAATTTTTGATTTTTTGGCGAGAACCGTTGGAGTGACATCGTGTTTCCCGCAACTTTTGAATTCAGCATACTCAAAACCCCCCTAGAGCAAATTTTCATGCTTCTTTCCAGAAGTGCACACTTTATGTAAAAAATGTCACATATCCGCCCCACTACTAACCCTAACCATATCAAATAGTTACCAGGGTACGTTCCGGTATACCGGACCGTACCCAGGGTACGTTCCGGCAGTACCCTGGGGGAGATAGACCCTATGAGCGTTACTATGGACACCAACTTATTTAACTAATGGAAGTATCATAAATTAATTTCATGAAGTGTACCTGTATTGGCGTGTTGACACTGTGATCTACAGACATAGCATTATAATTATATACATTTGAGTTTATTGGCAGCCGTATAGCACTGTCAACTAGCCACATGTAATGAACGTTTGGCAGTAAGATCTTACCGTCGAGAAATAGACGTGACTTATTTTTCAGGGGTTGCATCAAATGAGTATCATTGAGTCATATCGGCCAGTCAACATAAATTCGCTCTTTTACTGCAGTTTATATACGTTGATAGGCATTGATGCAATCCATTGTTACTCACTGATAAGATATATATTAATAAGACGCAATAGTTGCTGGTGTCAGAGCCATGAATCCCTTCTGAAGAGCCAGTTCTTATTGCCCACGAGATCCAACAAAGTGCTAAAACAGTTGAAAATTGGCTGTCATCAGCTCATTTTACATTGCAAAGTTGACAAATTTCAAATATAAATGATAAAGGAGTCGATGAGTTACAGTTTGATAACTTCGGTATTTCTCCCAATCTAAAGGTTGTCTGGCACATTGTTCCAAAAACATTGATAGTTTGAGTAGTTGATTGATAGTTTGAGTACTCTTATATTTTAACAGCCGATTAAAAATGCATTCCCTCGCACATTTTTAGCTCAGCTGACGAAGTCAGATGCAGCTTGTAGAATCGCATTATTGTCCGTCTGTTCGTGCGTCCGTCCATCCGTCTGTCAACAGTTGGGCACAAATCTTAACAGCTCGACGTACGGTCTTGATATTTGGAACGTCAGGGGGGGGGATTGCGAAAAGGACCAGGGATGTCGAATTTGGGGGTCAAGGGTCAAAGGTCAAGATGTATCAATGGAGGGGGAATATTTTACTCTTAACTTAAGGTATAAGAGGAAATACGGAATTGCGGCACAAATCTCAACGGCTCGACCTATGCTCTTAATATTCGATGTATAGTGTGATAGGGAGGAAACCCATCACCAGCGTGAAATTGGAGGTCACAGGTCAAAGGGCAGTGGGGGAAAGGTCAGATATCCGACATTTTCTGAGGACATGGTCTAACGGACCGAGTGCAAAACTTTTTTGTTTCAGCGCTGACCTACCGTTTTTATCACTTTATTGAAAGGGCCATGAAATCTACTTTCCGCTGACGTGCGAAGAGTAAGTGTCTGAAAACCTTTTGACCCTCAAGAGGAGGGTTAAACATTGATTTGTTGACTGTTAACAAAGGACTGAACTGCTTTTGCTATTAGAGCCCCCTCCAACCACCCCTCTCCCACCCTCCACCGTTTTATTGTTTAAAAAAACTTATAGATAAATTATGCAGTTTAACAAAGTTCATTATTAAATGAATAATCTGCACAACAAATATTTTATAAAGCTTGAATCGAAGAAATTTGAAGAATTTAGCAGGCTATAACCAAACTTTTTTTGCAGTGAAGGATAAATAATGACTAGCTTTACGCAGGTTTTTATTATCAATAAGAGTCCTTTATAGACAGGCATCTGTTCTATGGTTGGTTTCACATTATAACTGCGATTCAAGGGAAATGCCAATGGTGTTCTTCATAGGTGTCCATGCTATAGAGTGGGTTTTACTGTGTAACTGCCATTTATGAGAAATAGCAATATTATCCTTTATAGACACGTGTTTAGTCTGAGTTGGTTTCACTGTATGACTTCTATTCAAGGGAAATGCTAGCTGTGTCTTTTATATACAGGTGTAGATTCTAATGCACATCTGACTGTACTCGTGATTAACACTGTTCCCTTTCCTGCAGGCTGAGGACTGCTCAGCTGGTTGACAGAGATGCAGACACGAGTGCTGCGAGTGTGAGGCAGGCCCAAGCGCTAGCCGCCGCCAGTCTGGAGCAGCGCGTGGCCGAGCTCGTGGAGGAGAGAGACGTGCTGCTGCGCACGGGCGTCTACCTGCCAACAGATCGCGTCGTCGTCGAGCTAGACCGTGAGATACAGCAGACGCTGGAGCGATCCGGCACCGCGCGATGACGCCACGAAATCTGATTGTGCGAGCTTACAAATGAATTCAAGTCGGCAATAGTTCAGCGCATTATCAAATGAACCAAAACAGAGTATTGTTACATAGAACCTAAGTTTAGAACTGTTAGTGTTAGAAGACGGACATGTACTTATATTTTTCTACGTATCCATGTATGAAGAAACTAAAGCTTTTGATTGCACAGCAATTTACAGTTTTTACTGACAATGTAATTTAGGAATTGTAGTTTGCGTGTGGATCTGTATGCGAAATACTGTATTTATGAAGTTCTTTGGATGTATTAATAATAATAAAGACTAATTCTATTAGCCTGCTATAAAAACCAACCTGTGGAAAAACATTTCTGTTATACCCTGCGTCTACGCGTTTAATTCCAAAGTCTAAAGACTAAAGACTCACTCTGACAGACCAATCCCCCAGTTGCCAATGCAATGATAGTACTTGAGGTAATCGCATGATTCGTGGCAATAATATGTAAAGTGTATAATATTAATATTAACATTAACCATGCCGCGCTCTATTGCATACTGGATTCTCGGTATTGTAGTACTGGGTTAAATTCAGACAAGCGAAGAACGGGCCCAATCGTAGTTTCGCACCATGATTATACCCCGTACAGACTACGAATTTGATAGCAGGGCCAGGCCCGGGCTGAAATTTTGTTTATTGAAGCACGAATAGTTTAATTAATTACCAGAAATATACGTACGCGCGGTATCGTAATAGGCTAATATACGCGCGGCTATGGGCAGTAGGAAAGTGTACTATAACTCTAATATCTCGCGAACGATTTGAGTTACATTTCTAAAATTCTAGATACATATAAACACATGGCTTAGCTATGGTTTCTGTGAATTTTGAGTATATTGAAGCACGACTAACAGTATGTGTGTGTGTGCGTGCGTGCGTGCGTGCGTGCGCGTGCGCGCGCGTGTGTGTGTGTGTGTAATGTTCAATGACAATTACCGAATGAAAAGTAGCGGGAACTTGTATTTGACTAGAAGAGAGAGAGAGCTAGAGTGAAATGAAGCATTGTGAAAAATTTCGAATTCAATGAACAATAAACACTGAACACGTAACATTTCTTTTACTCAGCGTATAAACATGTTTAATTAGGAGAAGTGCATATATACATATCCCAATTCGAGTTGAATATGAATTTACAAAAGAACAAGTTTAATAGGATTAATGTTAATGGATCAAGTAAATATTTCGTCCAATGAATAATACTTATTTACAGTGCCAGTGCGGTTGGTTTAGAATCTAGCAAATAGAAACACAAGAAGTATATTTTGACAATGAAAATGTAGGATGAAGCCTCGAAGGTTTACTGCTATATGCGGTTGGTTAGGAATTTAGCAAATCGAATACATGAAGCTTGTTTTGACACTGAAAATGTAGGATGAAGCCTTGAAGGTTGACTGCTATGCTGATGCTGGCTGCCTTGCTGCATGATGCTGATGCTGCCATGCTGATGCTGCCATGCTGATGCTGCCATATGCTGATGCTGCCATATGCTGATACTGATGCTGATGCTGATGCTGATGCTGATACTGATGCTGCCAGGCTGATGCTGCCATGCTGGTTGGTAAACCTGAAAACAGATACGTACGCAAATCTAAGTTTTATGTAAGCAATTATTATGAGGAACTTCTTAAAAACAAGGTTTGGAGAGGGATACCGGACACTAAGTAAATGCTCTACCTGATGAGATGTATGTACTGTGCTTGAGTAGTAATTCATATTAATCACATAGAAGTGTATTATACTGTAGTACTCTATAGTGCTCGTATAATGCTTACCTTGGAGCTATGATACAAGTCTGCTATAATATACTGTAGAAGCGACTGTAATAGTATTAGTGAGAAGACCACTGACGACCACCTTCCTGGCTGGCTTCTAAATCTATAGTGCTGTGAATAAATACTGAAGCTTGCAGTAATATGCCCTAGAGGGCAAAAATGGTAAGAGGTCAATAAAATACTTTACAACTAACATAACAGAATTAACCCAAGACACTGTCACGTTCACTAGCTTAGACTAAGGTTAGCTCTAACCACTATGTGTTAGTAATTAGGTTGGTACGACATAAATACAAGGCACAGACATGACAGACAGAAACTTGTGCATGACGTTTCGATGTCCCAGAGTTAGGCGAGATTTTTTTATTTTGTTGGTTAACAGATCCGCCGACCCGAATTTTCAAGAAAAACGAAAAAAAATAAAAATTGAAAATCTATTATTTTATTCCGGCCGACCTTTTCTCTAAGAAATATGAATTAAAAAAATGTAAATGTAAAAAACAAAACCATTTTAAACAAACAGTTTATAATAAAAGTGAAAATAATTACAAGTTGAGTTTTGTTTTCATTTAGTTTTCTTAAAATACTTTAATATCATGTATAACAGTATCACTGTATTTTGACTTGTTTGATCTGACTTTTTTTTGTTTACCCTACCGAGTCAACAACAACAACAAAATTTATGTAAACCAAAAAAAAGTGGCCTTAGGGGGGTCACTTTTCCGGCCAACACCAATCAAGCACTAGCTATGTGTTAGTAAGTTGGTAATATTTGCATTACTTATTGCGGGGCTGGCCCGTGAAGATGGGAGCAATTAGGAGAGACCTGCACGTTCTCTCTCCCGAAGCGAATTCATCCCAGAGCTTGAAAATTCTGCCCTGCATTCGCACATATTTCTTTCGCTGCTGACGTTTCAGCTTTCTTTCTGAAAGTAATTTAAGCTGAATGCTGACGAATTTCGCTTCTTTGTGCAGCAGGTCAATTAACTCGTACAGTGCCAGCCGCGGCCTGTGCGCAACGGCCTGCGTTAAGGCGGAAGTGGCCAGCCTTCCACGCTCATTAGGCGGCGTTCACTACTTGGGGCGCGGAATAAGCGGGAATGGCAAATGCCGGTTCTTTTGCGAACGCGATGCGAAATAGCGAGATTATTAGCAAGTGTTAACGCAATAGATACTCACTAATATGCGATCAAGCTCGCGCGTCCAAATCGCACTTTTGACTGGCGATTATTTGAATTAGCGCGATTATTCTTGCGTGCTGTGACAACGCTGTCGCGAATATTGGATATAACCGCCCGCGATTATTTGCGTGTGTGAAAACGCTCGAGCACATAACCCGGTATTGTCTATCATTCATTCCAAGGCGAGGTGGAGCAGTGAGCATGCCAGGTGAGCATCAATTCGCGCGCGGCCGTGAGCATGCGCAGTTCGATTAATAGAATTATCCCGCTCGGCGATTAGCGCGATTATTCGCCTGTGTGAACAACGACACAATTATCTCGGTATTTCATCGCGATTAGCATCGCGGTTTTTCTTGTGTGAACGCGCCTATTGTTTGTTCTTACGCTCTGCTGGTAGACACTCCACGCTGAAGACGGCCACATCTCAGACGTGATCCAGGTATCGTGGACGTACTCAACAAGAACTGAACTTGAACTGCAGGAGTGGTAGCCTGAGCCTGCAAAATATTGAACATTTCGGGTATATGCTCATGAGGAATTAGCGGTAGGGTCATTATTTTTCGAAGATACCTGCTCATGCGATAATCCCCTCGGTATGTAAAAAAACAGGACCGAGATTTTGGATTTTCCGCCACACTGCTTGTGTCCAATGGAATGAGCACCCCATGACACGGACCTCCGGTACAACTTCGGCCAGAGACTTGCAGACAGCGCACTCGAAATCTGTAACAACACTCTGTAAGCAATAGTCATTAGGCAAAATCTCGATAAGGTTGCGCAGAACGGCACTGTAATCTCGGCGGTTCTTGCCAGACATGAGCGCAAAAGCAAGAGAAACTTGTTTGATGTTGCCGTCACTCTGAACAATGGCATGCACAGAAAACGCACGAACGACGCACGTACTTTGAAAGTCGAATCAAGGTATCAGCGGGTAGTCTTTGCTAGCAGGGTTATCATTAGGGGAAGGGCAAACAGCAGGTGTCTGCGTTCACGCACTCTTATGTCGCGCCGCATGAACCCATCTGCAACAAAGGTATTATCTATATCAAAATCAAGATTGCGGGGATGGGGAGGCCGCATCTGCTGCCTTTTTCTGTTTGCACTTTTGCAGTGCGGGCCAGGTGATCTATGCAGGGTAGTGCATCTATAGGGCCACCATCACATTTCTCAGCAAGTACCTCGGAGACGATGCTCGGGGCGGAGCGGAAGATGCTCCTCGTTGCCTTTCTCTTTACGTTAGCAATCACTTTAAGAGCTGTTGATGCACCCGGCACAGGCTGGTGACAATGTGGTTGGGAATGAATGTATTGAATGTATTGTCATTGTTATTCTGCTTAACGCGTGCTAAGCATGTGCGCGTGTCAGGTGGTAGTGACGTCATTAGACCTGTACAAGGTGTATGTGAATCCTTGGTCATCCGCAAGCTTGACGCGGCCACGCTGCGATGCGGAGTCGATGACTTCATACTGGAGGAGCGGGGGGGGGGCATTTCGGGTTCCTCGTCCGTCGTGGAATCGTCTGAAACAGAATCATCATAGCGGACAATTATAGGTTCTGGCTCAGCTGCAATGTCGTCTAAAGGCTGGTCGGCTGCCGAACACATTTCGGGTTCCTCGTCCGTCGTGGAATCGTCTGAAACAGAATCATCATAGCGGACAATTATAGGTTCTGGCTCAGCTGCAATATCGTCTGAAGGCTCGTCCGAACACATACGGCACACCCAATTTATGTCTAAGTCGCCCCTTACCGCTTGACGGTAGGAGTCCCTAGTGATACCCGTCTCACATAACCTATGCTGCCACCTTTCACATATTATACTATCAGCTGGGGGAAGT